TTAATTGTACAGAAGCCCAAGACGAGTGCGAAGACCAAGTGACACCCCTTATGTCAACGCAGAGGATCTGGAAGCCAACATGCGTGCTCGAGTTGGAATTGGTCTCAGTTTTTGGTCTGCGCACGAGCACTACGTTAAGATGAGCAAGAGGGCACCGAAGCGTAAGCAAAAACGCACCGAATTGCATCGATTCTAAAATATGCAAGATGGATCCTCCTAGTAGTAGTAGTAGTAGTAGTAGTAGTAGTAGTAGTAGTAGTAGTAGTAGTAGTAGTAGTAGTAGTAGTAGTAGTAGTAGTAGTAGTAGTAGTAGTAGTAGTAGTAGTAGTAGTCGTAGTAGTAGTAGTAGTAGTAGTAGTAGTAGTAGTAGTAGTAGTAGTAGTTAGTAGTAGTAGTAGTAGTAGTAGTAGCAGTAGTAGTAGTAGTAGTAGTAGTAGTAGTAGTAGTAGTAGTAGTAGTAGTAGTAGTAGTAGTAGTAGTAGTAGTAGTAGTAGTAGTAGTAGTAGTAGTAGTAGTAGTAGTAGTAGTAGTAGTCGTAGTAGCAATGGTAGTAGTAGGAGTAGTAGGGATAGTCGTAGTAGTAGTTAAATAAGTAGCAATAGTAGTAGCAGTAGTAGCAGTAGTAGTAGTAGTAGTAGTAGTAGTAGTAGTAGTAGTAGTAGTAGTGGTGGTGGTGGTGGTGGTGGTGATGGTAGTAGTACTAGTAGTAGTAGTAGTAGTACTAGTAGGAGTAGTAGTAGTAGTAGTAGTAATAGTAGTAGTAGTAGTGGTGGTCGTGGTAAGTGGTAGTAGAAGTAGTTGTAGTCGTAGTCGTAGTTGTAGTAGTCTTAATCGTAATAATGGTAGTAGTAGCAGTCGTAGTAGGAGTAGTCGTAGTAGCAGTAGTGGTAGTAGTCGTAGCCGGTGTCGTAGTAGTAGTCGTAGTCGTAGTAGTAGTCGAAGTAGCAGTAGTCGTAGTAGTGGTAGTAGTGGTAGTAGTAGTAGTCGTAGTCGTAGTAGTAGTAGTAGTAGTAGTAGTAGTAGTAGTAGTAGTAGTAGTAGTAGAAGTAGTAGTAGTAGTAGTAGAAATAGTAGTAGTAGTAGTAGTAGTAGTAGTAGTAGTAGTAGTAGTAGTAGTAGTAGTAGTAGTAGTAGTAGTAGTAGTAGTAGTAGTAGTAGTAGTAGTAGTAGTAGTAGTAGTAGTAGTAGTAGTTAGTAGTAGTAGTAGTAGTAGTAGTAGTAGTAGTTAGTAGTTAGTAGTTAGTAGTTAGTAATAGTAGTTAGTAGTAGTAGTAGTAGTAGTAGTAGTAGTAGTAGTAGTAGTAGTAGTAGTAGTAGTAGTAGTAGTAGTAGTAGTAGTAGTAGTAGTAGTAGTAGTAGTAGTAGTAGTAGTAGTAGTAGTAGTAGTAGTAGTAGTAGTAGTAGTAGTAGTAGTAGTAGTAGCAGTGGTATTAGTACTAGTAATACTCGTAGTAGTGGTGAAATTAGTCGTTATAATAGTAGCAGTAGTGGTAGTAGTAGTAGTAGTAGTAGTAGTAGTAGTAGTAGTAGTAGTAGTAGTAGTAGTAGTCGTAGTCGTAGTCGTAGTAGTAGTAGTAGTAGTAGTAGTAGTAGTAGTAGTAGTAGTAGTAGTAGTAGTAGTAGCCGTAGTAGTCGTAGTAGTAGTAGTAGGAGTAGTGGTGGTGGTGGTGGTAGCCGCAGTAGAAGTAGTCGGAGTCGTAGGCGTAGTTGCAGTAGTCTTAATCGTAATAATGGCAGTAGTAGTAGTAGTAGTAGTAGTAGTAGTAGTAGTAGTAATCGTCGTAGTAGTAGTCGTAGTAGTAATCGTCGTAGTAGTAGTAGTAGTAGTCGTCGTCGTCGTCGTCGTCGTCGTCGTCGTCGTCGTCGTCGTCGTCCTCGTTGTCGTCGTCGTCGTCGTAGTAGTAGTAGTAGTAGTAGTAGTAGTAGTAGTAGTAGTAGTAGTAGTAGTCGTAGTAGCAGTAGTAGTAGTAGTAGTAGTAGTAGTAGTAGTAGGAGAAGTAGTAGGAGAAGTAGTGGGTAGTAGTAAGTAGTAACTCCGAAGGAGGAATCCAAAAGGAATTCGGAAGGAGGAATCCGAAGGAATTCCGAAGGAGGAATCCAAAGGAATTCCGAAGGAGGAATCCAAAGGAACTCCGAAGAAGGATTCCTGAGGATTCCGAACGAACCCTAAGGAATTCCACAGGAATCCGAAGGAATTCCGCAGGAATCCTAAGGAATTCCGAAGGAGTCCTAAAGAAGCCGGAGGAATTCCGAAGGAATCGTAAGGAATTCCGAAGGAGCCCTAAAGAATCCGGAGGAATTCCGCAGGAATCCTAAGGAATTCCGAAGGAGTCCTAAAGAATCCTGAGGAATTCCGAAAGAATCCTAAGGAATTCCGAAGGAGTCCTAAAGAATCCAGAGGAATTCCCAAGGAATCCTAAGGAATTCCGAAGGAGTCCTAAAGAATCCCGAGGAATTCCGAAAGAATCCTAAGGAATTCCAAAGGAGTCGTAAAGAATCCGGAGGAATTCCGAAGAATTCGAAGGGATCCAGAGGAATTCCGAAGATCCCATCCGTGGTTGGAATTTGTATCATTTTTGGTTGGGTTGGAATTGGTCTCATTTGTGGTTGGAATTGGTTTCGTTTCTGGTTGCAATTCGCTCCGAACGGTTGGAATTGAGACTAGTCGGTTGTAATTTGTTCCATTTCGACCTGCCCCCCCCCCTGGAGGGTTTCTCCGAAGGGCTTAGGCGGCCCGTCCTCCTCCCTCCTCCCTCCTCCTCCTCCTCCTCCTCCTCCTCCTCCTCCCTCCTCCTCCTCCTCCTCCTCCTCCTCCTCCTCCTCCTCCTCCTCCTCCTCCTCCCTCCTCCTCCCTCCTCCCTCCTCCTCCTCCCTCCCTCCTCTCCTCCCTCCTCCCTCCTCCCTCCTCCTCCTCCTCCTCCCTCCTCCTCTCCTCCTCCTCCTCCTCCTCCTCCTCCTCCTCCTCCTCCTCCTCCTCCTCCTCCTCCTCCTCCTCCCTCCTCCCTCCTCCCTCCTCCTCCTCCCCTCCTCCCTCCTCCCTCCTCCTCCTCCTCCTCTCCTCCTCTGGCGCCCCTGGCGCGCTCCGCGCGCCTGGGAGGGGGGTCCAGCGCAGATCCAAGAAATCCGCGCGAAGCGCCAATAGTTTGTGTGTTATGCTTGTTTTTTCCCCCTTCTGCTGAAATTAGGGAGCTCGCGCCCGCGCCAAGGTCATCCTTCGAGCCGCCCGCTCCTCGGGCAGGCCGAGGTCAGGGCTTCCCATCTGCTGAGTGAGGGTTCCTCCCAGCTTGCCTTCTGCACGTTTTTTTCTGTTTGCCCGCTCTCGGTCTAGTGCTCTCCCCCGCCCATTTCTGTCAATGCTGACACCAGAGCGTCGCACAACGTTCGTCCCGCGATCTCCCCACCGCCACTGCTGCGATGCCTGAGGTCGATCCTCCACCATCGTCCGCTCGTAAGCCACCACACCATCCACCACTAGCACTACCGCCGCGAGAGCAACAACCTCGTTAATGACCGCTTCTGCCGCCAGTGCCAGTGCCAGCTTGAGGGCCAGAAGTGCGAGGCACGACGGTTACCGGCGGCTCGACACTACGCAGCACGATGGGCTCAAGACGTACGGCACAGAGCAGCACGACGGATACCATCAGCATGACGCTGAACCCCACGACCAGATCCAGCAATACAATGTTCTTTCCTTTGGGACGGACGTGCGGGCAGTTGTCCATGTTTGGGTGCACCATCTCCGTGACATGTGACATCGGCGCCATCTCCGTGGCATTGGTCATAGGCCCCGTCCCCGGTGACATTTGACATCGGCACCGTCTCCGTGACAAGTGATATTTGCACTGGCCAGAGGCGGTTGCATTTGAAACGAGATTTCTTCCTCACCTCTTGCCCCCACGTTGGCCACCACGACGGAGGTCAGCCCTACGCCTGGATCCAGTACTTCGGAGTTCAGCATCATGATATTGAACAGCGCGCTGATAGTCCAGCCTCAGTGCAGCCACACAGCCAGTTAGCCATGACAGTCTCAGCAGCTCGCCAACAATCCTGTCGCCCTTCCTTGACGCCCAAACAATCCTTGCCGAAGCCTCCTATGATCACTCCCACGCATGAGATCATGAGCCCGCTGATGATATCATCGGTCTCCTCGCCTAGCGCTGTCTCCCCTACATCAGATCGCATGAGGTCACATTGTCACTTCCTCATCGCCGTCGTCGCAGTCACCCCGCCATCATCAACAACAACATATCATCATCATCATCAGCAGCAGCAACAGCAGCAGCAGCATTCCCATCTTCATCAGCATCATCATCATCGCCACCATGACCACTATCAGCATCATCAGCATCAGCATCACCATTACCACCACCACCATCATCACCACCACCATCATCATCATCATCATCATCATCATCATCATCATCATCATCATCATCATCATCATCATCATTGTCATTATCATCATCATCATCATCACCATCATCATCATCATCATCATCATCATCATCATCATCATCATCGGCATCTTCATCGTTATCGTCATCGTCATCAACATCGCTTTCAATTTCTTTCACTGTCAGCGGAATTATCAAGAGTATCTCGCCTCGTCGCCCCTGCCATCTCGCCAACCATCTCGTCGCCGAGACCTCCCATGATAGGAAAGACCCCTTTCCCAGTCAGGGGGGTCATGAGTCATTGGGGGAACCCCTCCGTCACAGAACAACGAATGTTGCGGCTTTGGGAATACAGTTTTGCCGATGGGCCCAGAGAGCCCTGTTGCATACTGCGAAGCTCAAGTCCAGCGCGGGATGTGCCTTCAGATCTCTTGCGCCGAACGTTCTTGTCGCTTGTTGATGCTGTGCACCTCGAGCCCCTACGACGATGACGGTTCCTCAGTCGGGCGGGCGACTTCTGTTCGCTCTCCCCCCCACCCTCTCCTTCGGCAAGCTGCTGGGCCTCGAGGATCCGAAGCGCGCCCCCTCCCCCCCCTCCCTCGAGAGGCCAGCGTGGTGATGCTGCGGGCCGCGCTCGACCCGGAGGCGCCCGCCACCCCTCGGGACCACGTCCGGGGGGGGCGTCTCTCGCGCGCCTGCGGCGCACCTTGCTCGTCGGGGTCCCCGTGGGCATCTCCAGAGAGGGCGCTGGGCGCATCGAGGAGCACGGCCGTGGAGCCTTGGAGACGTGGGGAGGCCTGGCGGAGCGTCGGCTTGCGTGCTGCGCGGGCGGGGACTCCTGTGGGGTTCGGGTCGACCCAGGTGGGGGTCCAGCGACAAGGGGGTGGTGCCACGGACTCGGTGCAGTAGGTCTGTGGGGTTGCGATATGTGCGGGGCGTGCAGCACATCCCGGGGCGCAGATGTACTGCCGGATCGTCGCGTGCCATACACTGACTGCTTGCAATCCAATGCAACACGATTCTCCAGCGCAACGCATTTGCAATACAATTGCCCAACATCTATTGCACCAACCCCTTTCAGCTGGACCCCCTTTTGGGTCACCCGAAGGGGTGCACAGTTAAAATGCACCCCACAGGAGCCATAGTACGATGCGTCTTGGATGGCGCGATGCCATAGTGCGATCCAAGGCGCCTACGGCGAGTCACAGCCGCCCCCCTGCCTTCTGGAATCGCCCATGTGGCCAAGCGTTATGACAAAAGCTCTGCCAAGCCATCGGGCCATGCGCTCCCCCAGCCGTTGTGGAAACCCTTCGGGGGGGACTTGGGGGAGGATGGCGGGGAAGCTCAGGAGGAGGAGGAGGAGGAGGAGGAGGAGGGGGAGGAGGAGGAGGAGGAGGAGGAGGAGAAGTAGGAGGAGGAGGAGGAGGAGGAGGAGGAGGAGGAGGAGGAGGCGGAGGGGGCGGAGGGGGCCATCTCGGGAGCCTCTGGGGGCACTCTTGGGGCCTCCTGGGAGCTTCCTGGGAGCCTCTTGGAGGCACTTTGGGGGCCTCCTTGGGCCTCTTGGGGGCTTTTGGGGCTGCCTCTTTGCCCGTCTTTGGGTGTTCCTGACCCGTCTGTTGCCATCGGAAGCCGTCTTGGGGGCCTCTCTGGGCCAACTTGGGGCCCTCTCGGGGTGCTCCAGGACCGTCTTTGAGGACTCTCGGGCCGTCTCGGGCCGTCGGAAGGCCGAAACAAATCAAGTGCTAAACTCATTGAACACACTTGCGGGGAATCCATACCGTTGACCTCTGCGAGCCTTCCTGGAGGACCTCTTAGGGGGCTCTTGCGGAGCTTTTAGGCCGTCGTAGGCCGTCTTGAGGCCATCTTGGGCTGTCTTAGGTGCAGAATGGGGCCGCGTTAGGGCCTCTTGGGGCCATCTGATCCGTCTTGGAGACATCTGGGATGCAATCTTGGATCCAATATTGAGACATCGTGGCCGTCGGAGGGGCCATCTTGATCCGTCTTGGATCTTGCTTTGTGGATGTTGAGCTTGTTTGCTATCCTTTCGGGTGGCCAGCGCGCTAAGCGGAAGCTCAACGGTGAGTTCTCTTGCAAACAGAACCCAAACCATTCCGTATAGAATTTAGTACGCCAGGCAATTCTGTGATACATCGGCGGCGGATCGAAGACGCCTACGGCGAAACACCGCCACACCCTGCCTTTTGGAATCGCCCATGTGGCCGAGCGTTGTGACAAGAGCTCTGCCAAGTAATTGGACCATGTGCTTCCCCACCCGTTGTGGAAGCCCTTGGGGGAACACTTGGGGGAGGATGGCGGGGAATATCAGGAGGTGGAAGAGGAGGAGGAGGAGGAGGAGGAGGAGGAGGAGGAGGAGGAGGAGGAGGAGGAGGAGGAGGAGGAGGAGGAGGAGGGGGCCATCTTGGGAGCCTCTGGGGGCACTCTTGGAGCTTCCTGGGGGCCTCTTGGAGGCATCTGAAGGTCCTCCTGGAGCCTCTTGGGGGCCTTGGGGGCTTCTCGGGGGCCTCTTTGCCCGTCTCAGGGCGGTCCTGGCCCGTGTGACGCCATCGGAAGCCGTCTGGGGGGACCTCTCTGGGCCGACTTGGGGCCCTCTTGGGGTGCTCCAGGGCCGTCTTGGAAGCCATCTGGAGTGTCTTGGAGGCCTCTCGGGCCGTCTTGGGGCCCTTCTGGGGCCCTCTTGGGGGCGTCTTGGGCCGTTACGCGGCCACCTGGGAGGCTTCTTGGGCCATCTTGCGACGATCTCGGGGGCCTCGCAGGCCGTCCTTGGGCAGTCCGCAGGCAGACTGTCCCGGCAAAGCAACCTAACACAGTTGTAGAATTCTGATGTTCTCGCAGTCGTAGTCGCATTCGCGATGACAGTCGCAGTGGCGACGGCAGTCGCAGTCACAGCCTCAGCCTCAGCCTGCCTCAGCCTCAGCCTGCCTCAGCCTCAGCCTCAGCCTCCTTCAGCCTCAGCATCAGTCTGCCTTCAGCCTCGGCCTCAGCCTCAGCCTGCCTCAGCCTCACCCTGCATCAGCCTCAGCCTCAGCCTCAGCCTCAGCCTCAGCCTCAGCCTGCCTCCGCATCAACCTGCCTCAGCCTCAGCCTCAGCCTGCCTCTGCCTCAGCCTCAGCCTGCCTGAACCTCAGCCTCAGTCTGCCGTCGGCCTCGGCCTCAGCCTCAGCCTGCCTCAGCCTCAGTCTGCCTTCAGCCTCGGCCTCGGCCTCAGCCTGCCTCAGCATCAGCCTGCCTCAGCCTCAGCCTCAGCCTCAGCCTGCCTTCAGCCTCAGCCTCAGTCTGCCTGCAGCCTCGGCTCAGCCTGCCTCAGCCTCACTCTGCATCAGCCTCAGCCTGCATCAGCCTCAGCCTGCCTGCCTCCTCAGCCTGCAGCCTCAGCCTCAGCCTGCCTCAGCCTCAGCCTCAGCCTGCTTCAGCCTCAGCCTCAGTCTGCCTTCAGCCTTGGCCTCAGCCTCAGCCTCAGCCTGCATCAGCCTCAGCCTCAGCCTCAGCCTCAGCCTGCCTCAGCATCAGCCTGCCTCAGCCTCAGCCTCAGCCTGCCTCAGCCTCAGCCTCAGCCTGCTTCAGCCTCAGCCTCAGTCTGCCTTCAGCCTCGGCCTCAGCCTCAGCCTGCCTCAGCCTTAGCCTGTCTCAGCCTCACCATCAGCATGCCTCAGCGTTCAAAATGTGGCCCGGGAGTGGAGTTCTGGGAACTCAAAGAACACGAAGTGGCCTACAGTTGGCTCCGGGCATTCAAAATCATACCCAGGAATGGAGATTTGGGAACTCGAAGAGCACGAAGTGGCCTACAGTTGGCTCCGGGCATTCAAAATCATGCCCAGGAATGGAGTTCTGGGAACTCGAAGACCACGAAGTGGCCTACAGCTGGCTCCGGGCATTGAAAATGTGGCCGGTCGGGGCAGCCGGCCGGGGCAGCCCGCCGCCCTCCCCTCCTCCTCCTCCTCCTCCTCCTCCTCCTCCTTCTCCTCCTCCTCCTGATCGTCCTCCCCCTCCCCTCCTCCTCCTCCTCCTCCTCCTCCTCCTCCTCCTCCTCCTCCTCCTCCTCCTCCTCCTGGTCGTCCTCCTCCTCCTGGTCGTCCTCCTCCTCCGGCTCGTCCTCCTCCTCCTCCTGCTCGTCCTCCTTCTCCTGCTCCTCCTCCTCCTCCTCCTCCTCCTCCTCCTCCTCCTCGTGCTCGTCCTCGTCCTCCTCGTCTTGCTCGTCCTCCTCCTCCTCGTGCTCTTGCCCCTGATCCTGCTACAGTTGGCTTCGGGCATTGAAACTGTGGCCCGGGAATGGAGTTCTGGGAACTCGAGGAGCACGAAGTGGCCTACAGTTGGCTCCGGGCATTCAACATGTGGCCCGGGAATGGAGTTCTGGGAACTCGAAGACCACGAAGTGGCCTACAGTTGGCTCCGGGCATTCCAAATGTGGCCCGGGAATGGAGTTCTGGGAACTCGAAGACCACGAAGTGACCTACTGTTGGCTCCGGGCATTCCAAATGTGGCCCGGGAATGGAGTTCTGGGAACTCGAAGAGCACGAAGTGGCCTACAGTTGGCTCCGGGCATTCCAAATGTGGCCCGGGAATGGAGTTCTGGGACCTCGAAGACCACGAAGTGTGTAACTGTTTGCTTAAAACGACTTCTGCGGATTCTCCCCGGCACCCGTCCGGCATCTGCCCAGACCCCCCTGAGGAGTCAAGATGCTTTCTTTTGACACCATTAGAAACCTATCAGTCTTCGCTGTTAGGTAAAAAGAGGCAAATGCCAACATCCTCCAAACACATTCGGGAAATCAGTAATTTTGGCCTCTTCGGGCCTTCCTGGGGGACCTCTTGGAGACTTCTTGGGGGCCTCTTCGGTCGTCTTCCGTCATCTTGAGGCCATCTTGGGCTGTCTCGGAGGCTTCTTGGGCAAACTTGGAGGCGTCTTGGACGCTATTGGGCCGTCTTGGAGGCCATCTTGGACCATCTTGGCCATTTTGGCCGTCTGGGAGGCTATCATGGGCCACCGTGGAGCCATCTGGAGCGGGAAAAACGTTTACGACCACCTCTGGAAGAGCCTTCCGGGTGGCCGGCGGCATCCGCCGAAGCTCCCGGGGGAGTTCTAAAAAACCACAACTTGTAAAGTCTGGCACGCCAGGCACCCCTGTGGCAAGCCAACAGGGGGCGGCGGATCGAAGACGCCGACGGCGAATCACCGCCGCCCCCCTGCCTTTTGGAATCGCCCATGCAGCGGAGCGTTGTGGCAAGAACTCTGCCAAGCTATCGGGCCATGTGTTCCCGCAGCCGTTGTAGAACCCACTCGGGGAACACTTGAGGGAGGATGGCGGGGAAGATCAGGAGGAAGGAGGAGGAGGAGGAGGAGGGAGAGGAGGAGGGGGCATCTTGGGAGCCTCCGGGGGCACTCTTGGTGCCTCCTGGGGGCTTCCTGGGGGCCTTTTGGATGCATCTTGGGGGCCTCCTTGGGCCTCTTGGGGGCCTTTGGGGGCTTCTCGGGGGCCTATTCGGCAGTCTTAGGTCATTCCTGGCCCATCTGACGGAAGCCGCCTTAGGGGCCTCTTTGGGCCGACTTTGGGCCCTCTTGGGATGCTCCAGGGCCGTCTTGGAGGCCATCTTGGGCGTCTTCGAGGTCTCTTGGGCCGTCTTGGGGCCCCCTTGGGGCCGTCTTCGGATGGGCCGTCTGGGGGCCATCTTGGAAGACCTCGTGGGCGATCTTGGGGCGATCTTTGGGTGCTCGTGGGCCGTCTCGGGCCGTCGGAAGGCCGAACAGCAGCAATCGTCCAAATCCTGAAACAACTTAAGACAAATCACTGATTTGTGCCTCTTCGGTCCTTCCTGGAGGCCCTCTTGGGGGCTTCTGGGGCTGTCTCGGGGACCTCTTCGAGTCATCTTGGGCCGTCTTGACGGCCTCCTGGCCCGGCGGACGCGGTCGGAAGACGTCTTGAGGGCCTCTCCGTGCTGACTTGAGGCCCCCTTGGGGTGCTCCAGGGCGGTCTTGAGGGCCATCTTCGGCGTTTTGGAGGCATCGTGGGCCGTCTTGGCGACTTATTGGGACCGTCTTGGAGGCAAAGGCCGTTCTGGGGCCCTCTTGGAGGCCTCTTGGGCGATCTTGGGGCGACCTTTGGGGGCTCGTGGGCCGTCTCGGGCCGTCGGAAGCCAGACAGAAGCAAATGCAAACAAAAATACAAAAAAACTAAAGGGAAATCAATAAGTTTGGTCTCTTCGGGCCTTCCTGGGGGACCTCTTGGGCCGTCTTGGAGACCTCTTGTGGGCCTCTTGGGCTGTCTTGGACCATCTTGGGGCCATAGTTGGGCGTCTTGGTGGCCTCCTGGCCCGTCTGACGCCTTTGGAAGCAGTCTTGAGGGCCTCTCTGGGCTAACTTGAGGCCCTCTAGGGGTGCTCCAGGGCTGTCTTGAGGGCCATCTTCTGCGTTTTGGAGGCCTCTTCGGCCGTCTTGGGGACCCCTTGTGGCAGTCTTGAGGGCCTCCTGTGCCGTTCTGGGGCCATCTTGGAAGGCCCCTTGGGCGATCTGGGGGCGATCTTTGGGGCTCTTGGGCCGCCTCGGGCCGTCGGAGGACCAAAGAGAAGCAAGTGCCAAAATCCTTCAAACACCTTTGGAAAATCAATGATTTGTGCCTCTTCGGGCCTTCTTGGGCCGTCTTGGGCCATCTTGAGCCTCTTGGGCCGTCTTGGGGGCCTCCTGGAGGCCTCTTGGGCCGTCTTGGGCCATCTTGAGGCTATCTTAGGCCGTCTTGGATGCATCTTGGGCCGTCTTGGAGGCATCTTGGGGCACTCTTGGCCAGCTTCGAGCCAACTTCGGCCATCTTGGTGGGCTCTTGGCCCGTCTGACGCCGTCGGAAGCCGTTTGGGGGGCCCTTCTGGGCAGACTTGGGGCCCTCTTGGGGTGCTCCAGGGCCGTCTTAGAGGCCATCTTGGGCGTCTTGGAGACCTCTTGGGTCGTCTTTGTGCCCTCTTGGTGCCGTCTTCGGGGCCTCTTGGGCAATCCTGAGGCCATCTTGGAGGCCTCTTGGGCGCTGTGGGGGCGATCTTGGGGGCCTCTTGGGCCGTCTTGGATCGTCGAAAAGCTGAGAAGAAGCGAATGCCAAAATCCTTCAAAAACCTAAGGACAATCAATGATTTTGGCCTCTTCGGGCCCTCCTGGAGGACCTCTTGGAGGCCCCTTGGGCCGTCTTGGAGGCCTCTGGGGGGCCTCTTGGGCCGTCTTGGGCCGCCTTGGACTCTCTTGGGCCGTCTGGGAGGCAGTCTTAGACCATCTTGGGCGGACTTGGAGGCCAAACGTGGCCATCTTGGAGGCCATCTTGGGCCAACGTGGCCATCTTGGAGGACATCTTGGGCCATGTTGAGCGAACAATTGGGGAATTGTGCTCCTTTCCGGGTGGCCGGCGGGACGGGCCGAAGCCCCAGGGGGAGTTCTTTTAAAGAGCCAAAGCCAAAACCGAAACGATTTAGCACGCCAGGCACCCTTGCGATGAATCGACAGGGGGCGGCGGATCGAGTGGCCTTCGGCCCATCCCGCCACCGTTCCTGGGTTGTGTGTCAGAGTTCTCGTGGGATGCTTCTTGGGGTCTTTTCGGAGCGCTCTCGGGGGCCTCTTAGGAGCAGTTATGGGGCCTCTGGAGGGCCTCTTGGCTGCCTCTTGAGGCCTCTTGGGGGCCTCTTGGGGGCTTCATGGGGCTCTCTTGGGGCCTCCTGGGGGCCCCTCGGGGCCGAGGGCTCGAAATGTTCGTTCGGCTGCTCCATCTGGGCCCCCTCTTGGAGCTGTCTTTTGGGCCTCTTGGGCTGTCTTGGGCGCCTCTTGGGCCGTTGTGGAGCCCTCATGTGCAGTGTGGGGGCCCTCTTGGAGGCCTCTTGGGCCGTCTTGGGGCGATCTTGGGGGCCCCTAGGGCAGTCTGGGAGCGTCGAGAAGCCGAAAAGGCGAGAGAGCGCCAAACGCCTTCAGAAACCTATGATGAATCAATGATTTGGGCCTCCAGGGGCCCTCTTGGGAGGCCTCTCGCAGGTCTGTTGGGGCTTCTTGCAGGCCTCTTGGGCCGTCTGGGGGGCCTTCTTGGGCGTCTTGGAGCGATCTTTCTCGGCGACTGGATGCTCTTGGACTGTCTGGGCTGCCTCCTGAGCTTTCCTTGGCCCGTTTGGGGGCCCTGTTGGGCGACGGGGCCGCCCCGGAGGCCCATGCGAGAAACCCGATCGGCGCCCGAGAGCGCCCGGTAGCGCCCAGGAATTTCGTGGTCCGGGCCTTTCAGAACCTTACAACCCCTCCACTCCATCCACCCTTCAGAACTGGATAAGCCTTGAGACACCCTCCACAACGTGCCGAAGGCCCGGTGTTGGACTATCGGACGTTCCAGTTCTGAGCGAACCAGACTATCAGGCTGCCTGGCATCACGCTCCAGCATAACATCATCATGATCGCCCCCCTCTCACCTCCGAGTCGGAATTCGACGCTTGAATCGAGGAGGAGGAGGAGGAGGAGGAGGAGGAGGAGGAGGAGGATTTGACGTGCTCCTCATGTTTTTTGACCTCGTCAGACCGCCATGGCGGCATCTCTGCTCGGGACGTGGGCCTGCCGACCCGACTCCGGACCCGAGCCCTGCGGCCGGTTTTGATCCACGCGTCTTTTCGTTGACTGCACTGGTCTGGACGGATTCGCTGTCCACGCCGCCGCGGCCTGTGTCCATTCGAGACAGAGGGCCGCCTGCCCAACAGCGGCCGCTGTTGGCTTGGGACAACATTTGTTGTTGGGCATAGTGCCCATTCTTTCCGTACCCATTTCGGGCGTCCAAAGCATTGGGGCCCGAAGTGGACCCCCCGGGGGCCTGAGCTGAGCAAAACGACGCTGCGATCTGTTCGTGACGCTGTGTGTCTGGGTCTCGCCTCGCCACGTCCTCACTTCCCCCTCTTGCCCCCCTCCTCCTCGACCTCACCGCCTCACGCTCCCCTCCTTCCCGTGCGACCCGTGGCCCAACCTCAGGCCCTGCTGACCATAAAGAACACGACCGGGTCCGCCATGGAGCCGTGGCCTGGAAGAGGAGGGGGAGGAGGAGGACTTCGACACATGAGTTTTGTGTGGGTGGGTGGGTCTTCCCTCCCCTCCTTCCCTCACTCCCTCTCTCTCTCTTTGGTTTTTGTTCCACTCTCTCTCTCTCTCTTTCTCCCTCTCCCTTGTCCCTCTCCCTCCCAGACAGGGTCCGAGACATTATGGATCACGGCACGACCTGCGAAACACCCAACATGAACCCCGACCCAAGCAGCAGCGACGACGCAGACAGCAGCGCACACCGCGGCGCAACCGAAACGACAGACCGGCACAACGAGAGAGATGACCATCAAGACGACGAGGAGAACACGATGAGGCCGTGGGTCGACTACGTCTGGCGGGCAGAACGGCGCGCAGCGCAATTTATGCCACAGCACCGCATCGCAAATTGTGAGCCGTGGTGCATGACGTCACGGGCTTCCAACCACGACCGCAATAGATGGACATGACGTGTACTGCACTGGCGACCGGATGCCAACCGGCGACAACGCGGACTGCGACAACACGGGGGCCGTCACAGGCGCTGGGACGACCATACCTACACTTATCGCCCGCACCAACAAGCACACAAGGACAATCAGCTCATAGAAAGTGGATACAAGTTGCGCAAGGCGTCAATGCCTGGTGGAGTCTTCAGAGCGACTGCGCCAGCAGCTGAAACAAAGCACATGCCACGAACGAGCGCACGCAAAATTGCACGACACTGCCCACACACGCGGACATCGACCAAGCGACTACAAGGATTCATCTCCCGTGTGTCCAAGTTTGACGCACTTGCTTGAATATGCCTCTCTGCACATACGCATGCTGCCACACACCAGTACGTATCCATATATATATATACACAGGTATATACACAGATAAAGAGAGAGAGAGAGAGAGAGAGAAACAATGAATTAAGAAACGCAAAGTAAAGATATATGAACAGAGAGAGAGAGAGAGAGAGAGAAACAAAAAGAGAGAGAGAGAAGCCGATACGGAGAAAGAGAGAGAGAGAGAGAGCGAGAGGGAGAGGCCATGGCCTCGCCCGCCTAGCCTTTGATAGGCTCAGAGGATGCTACGCATTGGTGTCTCGCCTATCTTCCCTATCCCTTCTCCTGTTTTCCGGTCTGTGTGTATGTGTATGTGTATACATCGGCACGTGGCAATACACATCTACATCTATATATATATATGAACATTCATACATGGACTTGTTCAAGTCTATGTGCACAGATTGCCATCTGTAATATGTACATACCCGATCTGTATCCAGCTGCTTGTGGCAAGTCCCGCTACCGTGCCAGACCAGCATTTCCGGCCACGGCTATCCACATGGACACTGGAGGACGGCGCGTGTGGTACTTCGTGTATTCAGGCTTGAGAGAACCGTGATGAGGACGATGAGATTTGGGAGGGTGATGCGCATGATGATGCCGATGATGATGTCAACGACGATGATGATGATGATGATGATGATGATGATGATGATGATGATGATGATGATGACGATAACGACGTCGATAGTGCTTGTGATGAAGCTGGTGCTGATGTTTGATGCTGATGAGGATGAGGATGAGGGCTATGAGGATGCTGCTGCTGATGCTGATGCTGCTGCTGATGGTACTACTCATAATGATGATAACGATGATGATGATGACGATGCTGCTGATGATGATTATGATGATGACGATGATGATGAGTATGATGATGATGGAGATGATGATGATGACGATGCTGATACTGGTGATGATGACGCTGATGCCGATTACGATGATGATGTCAACGACGATGATGACGATGCTGATTATGATTATGCTGGTGACGATAACGACGTCGATGGTGTTGGTGCTGATTTTGATGCTGATGAGGATGAGGATGAGGGCTCTGACGATGCTGCTGCTGATGCTGATGCTGATGCTGATGATAGCAATCATAATGATGATGATGATTATGATGATGAGGATGATGATGCTGATTGTATATGATGGTGATGATGACGATGACGACGATGATGATTATAATGATGATGATGCGGCTGATGATGAGGATGATGATGATGATGATGATGATGATGATGTTAAGGCTTGATGATGAGGACGAGGATGATGATGATGATGATGACGACGACGGTGATGATGCTGATACTGATGAGGATGCTGCTGATGATGATGATGATGATAATGCTGATGCTGATGCTGATGCTGATGATGACGATGATGATGATGATGATGATGATGATGATGATGATGATGATGATGGTGATGATGATGATGATGATGATGATGCTGATGCTGATGGTGATGATGTTTATTCTGATGGTGATGACGAGGAGGAGGAGGAGGAGGAGGACCTGGAGGAGGAGGAGGAGGAGGAGGAGGAGAAGGAGGAGGAGGAGGAGGAAGGCCGTCACATGACGAGGAGGAGGAGAAGGACGAGGAGGAGGAGGAGGAGGAGGAGGAGGAAGAGAAAGGCCGTCACATGTGCCATCTTTCGTCCTCACTATTTGAGGAGTTCTCTTGGAACTCGTTCGTGCCGTCTCGGGGCCGTCTTGGCCTCCTGTGAGGCAGTCTTGAGGGTCCCTTGGAGGCGTCCCGGAGCTATCTTGGGTCGTCTTGGGGCCTTCTTGGCCGTGTGGTGGGTGTCTGGTGGCTGTCGTGGTTTCGTTTTGGCGCCATCTTGGTCCGTCGAAGGGCCTTCTGAGGCCGTCCTGGGCCCCAAGGGAAGCCCACTGCGTACAGCTGGCACCCTCCTATGTATCCTTTCCTGTCGGATGCACGTGATTCGAGATTGGTCGCGTTTCGCGCTGCTTGCCTCGCCGAGCTGCGTCGCCAGTCGAGAAGATGCCTGGTACGTCCTCCTCCTCCTCCTCCTCCTCCTCCTCCTCCTCCTCCTCCTCCTCCTCCTCCCCCCTCCTCCTCCTCCTCCTCCTCCTCCTCCTCCTCCTCCTCCTCCTCCTCCTCGGCCGAGATCCCAAGGCACTTCCCCCAAGCGAGTGCCACATCGGGACGGCCGGCTGGCGAGCGTGGGGCGAGGCCAGGGGCGCGCAGTACCTAGGGGCAGGGGCGGGGGTCGATGGCCGAAGACAGCACCGAACACCGAGGGCTAGGGGGCCACATGCGAACCCTAGCCTTGCGACGTTGACATGTTTGTCGCGCGCAGCTTTGCAAGGATAACGCGTTTGCCTCTCGCGAGCCTTGCGACGTTGACATGTTTGTCGCGCGCAGCCTGGGTAACGGTTTTGTCTTGCGCGAGCGCTACAAAAAAAACATGCGAACCCTACCCCTACCCCCCACGATTTCTGCTGGGGCAGGGTGGGGTTCGCTTCGCTCGGGAGCTCCCAGACGGAGTGAGAACCCCACTCTCCCCCTCAGGAATCGTGGGGGGTATGGGGTGGGGTTCGCATGTGGCCCCCTGAGGGCGATGATCGAGAACGCTTTTTTTTCTTTCCAACCTCACCAAGTTTGTGTAACAGAGGGAAGGAGGCGACGTCCCTCTGTTTCAGACCTTACCTGCAACGCGTTGGGAAGCAGGAGGTCGGGGAGACGCGGGAGATGCCGCGACTCCAAACACCGCCCAAATCAGACAGGTCTTGCTGCGCGGAAGAGTGAAAGATCGAGAGCGCTTTTGGCTCATCCTTGGCCGTGGGGCCGTCGCAGCCGACGTCGGCCGCCCCCGCGACGGCGTGCCACGGGGGCCGCCGCCGCGCTCGACGGGTGGGCGCGGCAGAGGCCCTCCCCGACCGCGCAGGAGGAGGAGGGCGGAAGGAGGCACGAGCTGGATCCCTTGCTGATCTACGTCGGGGCATAGAAAGAGGAGTGAGGAGGAGGGGAAGGCGAAGGGAGAAGGGAGAAGGGAGGGCGGAAGGAGGCACGAGCTGGATCCCTTGCTGATCTACAGTCGGGGCGCGGAAGAAGGAACCCCTTTCGTTTGGGAGGGGCTCCGTGCTCCTTAGTTGTTTTGCAGGGCTCCTCGGGTTGTCCTAAGGTTTTCCATGGAACATCGGAGTTTAACTTATGGGAAAAAGGGGCCTCGTTCCTTATTTAGGGTTCCTTGGATCAACGCCCCAACTGTACGTCCGTCCGGGCATAGAAAGAGGAGTGGGGAGGAGTGAGGAGGAAGGGAAGGCGAAGGGAGAAGGGACACTATAAAGTGGACAAGGGTCATGGAAGAAGAGGGGCTGGAGGGGGAGGAGGTGGAGGAGAGGGATCTGGGCGCACCCCGACCGTCTTCCACTGGTGCGAGGAGAGTCGGATGATGTGGCGGAGAGGGACGAGGGCGAGGGCGACGGACGAGGAGGAGGACGAGCCTGTCGCCATCCACCTCCTGAGGAGGCGGCGGCGGCGCAGGAGCAGGCCGAGGACGAGGGGGACGGACCACGGGTTGAGGCGGGCCCTGCGGGGGAGGGGCCCCCTCCGAGGCCTCTCCGCGGCCGCAAGGGGCGCGAGGCCCGCCGCGAAGCCCGGCCCCGACCGGCCCGCGGAGGTCCTCCCCGGCCCACCTGGCGGACTTCTTCCGCCACCTGGAGCTGGCGCTGCTGCTGGAGCCCGCGGTGCGGCGCCGCCTGCGCCTGCCGGCCGGAGGGGCGGGGGGAGCGGGGAAGCGGGAGGGCCGCGGTGGCCCGAGGGTTCGAGGGCAGGGGGCTCGAGGGTCGAGGTTCGAGGCGGAGGGGGGGGGCAGGGAGGAGGGAGGAGGGAGGGGGGAGGAGAGAGGAGAGAGGAGAGAGCAGAGAGGGCAAGCCGGGTGCGCTCGCGCCGCGTCTGACATCCTAATCAACCCCATCTCTCCCATCCCACTCCGCTGCGCTGATTTCCCATCTATCCGCCAACGGGTGTCATAGCGCACCTGGAACACGCAAAAGGACCCCATCGTGCTTCGCCCAACCTGACAAGGGGAGCTGTGCACACTGGACGAGGAGGACGAGGAGGAGGAGGTGGCGGATGAGCAGGAGGAAGAGGAGAAGGAGGAGGCAGGAGGAGAACGAGGAGAAACTGCAGCAGCATGAGCAGGATAAGTGGGAGGAGCAGGAAGACCAAGGGAATGCGTGGGAGGGGAAAGAAAGGAGGCGACAACGACGAGGGAACACTCGGATCCAGAACTGTGGGCCGCGCTGGGGCGAGAGCGCCATCCTGAACGACGGGAGCAAGGCGCCGATCCGAAATTGAGGCTGTCGCTGCAGCGGGGGTCCATATTGGAAGGACCGAACTCGCACCAATCCTGTGTGTCAGAAGACAGTACGCGGAGGGATTCGCGCTAGTCTCAGCACGTCTTCGGGGGAGAGGAGGCTCGTATTCATATTGTGTAAGTGTGGAGGGGGTGGGGAACATGAGGTTGGAGGACGGGGGGGGGGAGGGAACGAGGGGGGGTGCTGAGGAAGATCAGGTACGAGGTTCGACGATCGGGGTCCGAGGAGGAGGAGGAGGAGGAGGAGGAGGAGGAGGACCAGTTGAAACCCCAAATCACCAACGATGTTGAAATACACCCTCCCTCCAAGATCCCCTTTGATAGGCCCCTACATGTAGTCATTTCCATTGGGAGAATTGCCCCATTGGGGGACGACCGTGTGAACATCTTGAAGGGTGTCAACACACCTTGACGAACCTGAGTAGTTCCAGAACGCCATTCCTGGGATTTCGTCAACGTTAATCAAAGTAACTGTTCGCCCTGACAATCCCGAATCGCTCCAACCCGTTAACCATGACAATCAGTGGCGCTCTTACACATTGTTTTTTAAAAATTACGTGCGCGGCGCTAAGTCGAGAGCCACATTTTGGAACGGAGCCGTCCCCAATCCGTGAAATTCTTGCAACCTTTTGAAAACGAATTTGCACGGCGCTGAGGCGCGATCCACATTTTGAAAGCCACCCGCCCTCAACCCGCGAAGCTCTTTCATTAGTTCAAACAAATATGCGCGGCGCTAAGGTGAAAGCCACATTTGGAAAACCACCCGCTGTCAATCCGCCAAACTCTTGCACATGATTAAAACGAATGGGCGCGGTGCTAAGGCGAAAGCCACATTTTGAAAACCGCCGCGAAGCCTTTTGCAAATCTTGAAAACGAATGCGCGCGGCGCTGAGTTGAGAGCCAACTTTTGAAAACCACCCGCCCTCCATTGTGAAGCTGCTGCAAATCTTAAGCATCATGGCCATGAGTGGTCAGGTGGTCTCAGGCGAAACGCCTGGCCCGCCCTTTCAACCGGCTTCGGGGTGCAGGGCGGAGTTATCTAGAGGGAAAAGGATTGGAGGAGGACGGAGGAGGACGGAGGAGGAGGGAGGCGCGGAGGAGGGGCAGATCGAGGATTGCGTTCATCATTTGTTGGATTTGTTTGGTGTGTTTCTGTGGTCCTAGGCGTCATGTGGGAGGAGGAGGAGGGGGAGGAGGAGGAGGAGGGAGGGAGGAGGAGGAGGAGGAGGAGGAGGAGGAGGAGGAGGGAGGGAGGCGCGGAGGGGGAGGGGGAGTTTGGGACGTCTTCGTTCATCTCGGGGCCTCTGGAGGCCTCCGCGGACCTCCGGAGGCCTCGGCGGGGACCTGGAGCCTTCGACCTTTGGAGGCATCTTGACGTTCTTGTCCCTTCCCTGCGCTTCCTCGCTCCTCGCCGCCGCGATCCGCCCCGAAATCCGGGCGCTGCAGGACAGCTCGGGGGGCGTCGGGGCTCAAGGGACGGGTGTCAATGCAAACGGGGGTCAGCCAGAGCGCTCGATCTTGCAGGATCCTGCAGGGCCAGGGCCGCATTGACCCGGGCTTGGGCGCAGGATCCTGCAGGATCTTGCAGGATCCTTCGCATGGACCCGGGCTTGGGTGCAGGATCTTGCAGGATCTTGCAGGATCTTGCAGGATTCTGCAAGGCCTGACTGACGCGGGTCTGGAGTCTGGATTGGCCCGGGACAGAAGATCCCCGACGGGGGGGGGGGGGGGCGCGGTCTGAGGGTGACCCAGGCCTCAGGCGACTCGAGCCAATCGCGCATTAGCCTCGACAGGCAATTCTCGGCGCCCAGGGGCCGCTTCTGAACCCCGGGGCCATCAGACCGTCATCCAGGATGGGCAGTCTGCGCCACGGAAGGGGTCGAGAGCTCTTGTGATCGGATTGAGCAACAATCCAGCGGCCTTCGGCAGGTTCCGCCACCGTGCCCGGGCAGCTTTTTTGTGTGGGAGCTTCGAGCACCGCCCAGAAGGCCCCACCTACCAAACCACCCCAACCCAACCCGAAGGCCTCAATTTGCCCTCCATTTCCAGCGGGGGGGGGGTCGGGGAACATTGAAAAAACACATGGTGCCCGTACCCCCCCCAACCCGAAATTCGGGTCAAATTCGGGTCTTCGGGTCGGGTTGGGGTGGTCTGGTAGGTAGTCAAGAAGGCCCGAGCATCTGACACACCTCGTCGCCACTCTTCGAGGGGATCTGATGGGGCCTGGCTGGGCCGTTGTGGGGCTGCTTTGGATTCCTGTGGGGCTGTCTTAGGGCCCTCTTGGGATGCCTTCTGGGCAGTCTCGGGGGCCTTTTGGGGTCGTCTCGGGGCCCTTCTGAGCGTCTTGGTCGCGTCGTGGGCCCCTCCGCTGCCCCGTGGGAGACTCATTGGGTTGTCTTGGGCCTTTTTGGGGGAGGCTGTCCTGGGCTCTTCTTGGACCGTCTCCTGGTGCCCTCTCAGGGCCGTCATTGGCCGTCCTGGGGGCTCTTGGGGCTCTCAGGGGCACCTTTTGGCATCTCCCAGGTCGTAAGCCCTCACCGTTTTGACACACTAGGCCCAGGACGCCCAACGTACGACACTCTTCTGCTCTGATCGACTTGGGTCTTTGGAGAGCCTCTTGGCCATCTCCCTGATATTCTGGAAGCCTCTCTGGGGCCCCTCTGGCGCCCGTCGGGGGCATTCTTAGGCACTGCTGGGTGCCCCCTGCAGCAGCTCTCGGCCATCGGAGCGGCCCGGGCGGCCTTCCCGGGCCGTGCGGGGAGCTTTCTTGAAGCGCGCCAGGGAGGCATCATTTGTTGGATTTGTTTGGTGTGTTTCTGTGGTCCTAGGTGTCATGTGGGAGGAGGAGGAGGAGGAGGAAAAGGATGAGGATGATGATGAGGAGGAGGAGGAGGAGGAGGAGGAGGAGGAGGAGTGGAGGAGGAGGAGAGAGGAGAAGGATAGAGGAGAGGAGGAGGAGGAGAGGAGGAGGATGAGGAGGAGGACCTCCGAAGGAGGAGGAGGAGGAGGAGAAGAGGATGAGGGAGGAGGAGAGGAGGAGGAGGAGGAGGAGGAGGAGGAGGAGGAGGAGTGAGATGAGAGGAGGGGGAGGGGGGGAGGAGGAGAGGAGGAGGAAGGAGGAGGAGGAGAGGGGAGGGGAGGTGGAGAGGAGGGGGGAGGAGGAGAAGGAGTGAGGGAGGGGAGGAGGAAAGGAGGAGGAGCAGGAGGAGGGAGGGGAGGGAGTTAGGAGGAGGGGGAGCAGGAGGAGGAGGAGGAGGAGGAGGAGGAATGGGAGGGGGAGGAGGAGGAGCGCGACGACGCCAACGAGATTTCAATGTGAGTTTGATATTGTTCATGACGTTCCCAGAAATTCTCCAGACGACGATGGCGACAAGGTTGCAATGTGCTTTCGGATGCTTCCTGGGGGGGTGGGGTGGATCTAGACGTCAAGACGAGGAGTAGGGCGACGACGACGACGAAGACTTCGGCTGTTGGATACTACCGGCGGATGTTTGTGGAGGCTGGATGTGGAGGCTGAGGGGCGGGGAGGATGATGTTGAGGAGGGGGCGAGGGCAGTCAGGCGCAATGTTTCGAGAAGCAGGTGCCATGCCACACACACGTACACTAAACACACACACACACAACACACATCACACAACACACAACACACACACACACACAACACACACACACAGCACACTCGCACACATGTCGCTTTGCCTTCCCTGTGATTCCCCAAACAGCTCGTCTGCAAGGACTCTCTCTCTCTCTCTGTCTCCCTGTCTCTGTCTCCGTTTAAGCCTCGCGCCCGCCGAGGGAGCTCTGGCCCCCGAACTCCGTGGCCCATCGCCCCCCCCAACACATCGCCAGACTGTGCAAAGCGGTCGAGTCTTCTGCCGCAAGGGCGCCATTTCCTGTTGTTCTTGTCCTCCTCTCCTCCTCCTCCTCCTCCTCCTCCTCCCCTCCTCCTCCTCCTCCTCCTCCTCCTCCTCCTCCTCACTCCTCCTCCGCCTCCGCCTCCTGCTCCTCCTCCCTGCTCCTCCTCCTCCTCCTCCTCCTCCTTTCTCCTCCTCGTCGCGCTCCTCCTCTCCCCCTCCCCCCTCCTCCTCCTCCTCCTCCTCCTCCTCCTCCTCCTCCCCCTCCTCTCCTCCTCCTCTCTCCCCTCCTCCCTCCTCCTCCTCCTCCTCCTCTTCCTCCTCCTCCTCCTCCTCCTCCTCCTCCTCCTTCCTCCTCCTCCTCCTCCTCCTCCTCCTCCTCCTCCTCCTCCTCCTCCTCCCTCCTCCTCCTCCTCCTCCTCCCCCTCCCCCTTCCTCCTCCTCCTCCTCCTCCTCCTCCTCCTCCTCCTCCTCCTCCTCCTCTTATCCTACCCCATCTTCGGGATTGCTCTTTCGTCGCGGATCGCTTCCTGCTGGCACTGGGGCCCCGGACGGGCCCCTGGAGGCCCCAAGCCCAAACAGAAACAAAAACACCTGTCGGAATTGTATTCGCGACGCACGGATATCTGGGTCCCGCCTTCGCCCCAGACCATCCTACGCCGCGATTCTGTCGAGTGGCCACCCTTCAGACCTCTCGACCCCGTCGGGAGCCTTGAGGCGGGGTTCAATACAAACGGGGGCAGAGCCAGGGTTGCATTGACCCGGGTTTAGGTGCAGGATCCTGCAGGATCCTGCAAGACCTTGCGGGATCTGCAAGGCCAGACTGACCCGGGCCGCCCGGATTGACCCGGGTCAGAAGACCCCCGAACCCCGTCCTCTCATCTCCAGTCGTTCTTTCTAGTTTCTTGCCCGCCCCAGAACGGTCGGGGGCGGAAAAGAGGGGGGTGATGACTAGGGGGGGCTGAATATCATGGCGGGGGCCATGATATTTCCCCAGATCTCATGGCGCCCCTTCTTGTCTCATGACGTGCCTCGGCCCCCCCCCCAGGGGCCGCGCACATGCCGCCGGCCACGGGTTGCGCCCCCCCCCCTCTTGGACGCCCCCCTCTGGGCCGCTCCCGAAACGGCACCGGGACTCCGAGCGCGGATCCGTTTCCCAGTCCTCTTCGTCCTCCTCCTGTCCTCCTGCCCTTCCTCCCTCCCGTCCTCCTGTCCTTCCTCCCCCCTCCTGTCCCCCCTCTTCGTCCTCCTCCCTCCTCCTCCCTCCTCCTCCCTCCTCCTCCTCCTCCTCCTCCTCCCTCGCTCCTCCTCCTCCTCGCTCCTCCTCTGCGACGTCTCGAGTCGCCCGGAGTCCGTGCTCCTGGAGGTCCCCGGGAGGGGGGCCACGCGCGCCCGGGAGCCTCCGGCTCCGAGGCCGGGGGCCCCATGGCCTGGGAACGGGCTCCCCGGACACGGGCCCCTGCCAGAGCTCTGGTGCGGGTCCAGCCGTGGCGCCCGGCATCGCTCGGACGTGTGCATTCCTTCCTTCGGCGAGGGCCATCGAGGAGCATCCTTGGTCATTTGGCGAGAAAGCCACGCACGAAACCGAACAGAAACACAGGGAATGGACGTCCGAGCGATGGCCAGGGCGAGCGTGACCTGGGACCCTGCAGGGTCCAGACGCGCGGGGCCCCTCGCCTTTTCAAGAGGCTCCAGCCTCCGACGTCGTGCTTTCTCCCCGCGCCGCGAGCCTGTTCTGTGTGTGTGTGGGTCTTGGCTGGCGGAGGGTCTCCTGTTCTTGACGGATGTTCTTCCGGCCCAGGTCCGACTGCATGGGATTAAGTCGGGCCTGTCCCCCTACAGGGGGATTTTCGACGACAAATAAAAAAATACACCAAAAATAATCAAAAAATAATCCAAACATAGTCTGGGGACTATTTTTGGAATATGTTTTGGCCTTCTTGGAGTATTTTTGGGGGTATTTTTAATTCTTCGTCGAAAGTCCCCCTGTAGGGGGACACGCCCGACATAAGCATGGGAATGCGAGACATCGGTCCTCAAGCCTGCTCCTCGATTCCCCCCCTCCCCCCCCCCCCCCTGCGTTGCGGATTCTCAGGGCCAGGGCGCCTCCTGGCGCGAGCGACTTCCAGCGAGGTGGCCAAAGCAGGGCCATGCTGGGTTTCCATCGCTGCGCCGCCTTGGTGAGGGCCCCGGAGCTGGAGAGGAGGACCCCCTCCCCTCCACAGAGGGGCTCAAGAGACGGGGGTCAGTGCAAACGGGGGTCCGCCAGGGCACCGGATCCTGCCGGATCCTGCGAAGACCCCCCGGGTCAGCGAGCCGCTCGTGGCCGCGAGGCGGCCGCGCATATTGGCTGACCCGGGTTTGCGGAAACCTGCGCTGCAGTTTTTTTCCTGCATGGCAGTTTTTGATTTCCTGCTGACCCGGGTCTGGATTGACCCGGGTCAGAAGATCCCCGACACAAGGGAACCCCCTCCCCTCCCTCCCCCCAGCGACAGACACAAGGGAACTCCCTCCCTCCCCGACACAAGGGAACTCCCTCCCTCCCTCCCCGACACAAGGGAACCCCCCCGCCTCCCTCCCCCTCCGCTCCCTCCCCCCCAGGTGTCTCCTCTGGGAGGACAGTGACAGCGCTCCGGACGGCGCGGGACTCCTTGCCCATTCCCCGTGGGATGTTCGTCGTCGTCTCCTGGTTGCGTCCTCGGCCCCGGCCTTGTGCCGCCCCCCCTCCTCCTCCTCCTCCTCCTCCTCCTCCTCTCCTCTACTCCTCTCCTCCTCCTCCTCCTCCTCCTCCTCCTCCTCCTCCTCCTCCTCCTCCTCCTCCTCCTCCTCCTCCTCCTCCTCCTCCTCCTCCTCCTCCTCCCCCCCTTCCCCCCTCGGGGAAAATGTGCTCTTCGTCGTTGCCGTCGTTGTCGTCGCCGACGTCCCCAGGCGTTGCGGTGCACGCCTCCCGCCAGCGCCCCGCCCACGGCGGACCTTTGCTCGTCGTCGTCCCCCGCCTCGATGCGTCGTCGTCCCTGGCGCTGCGCGGCGCATCCCCCGCTCTGCGGACATACCCATCGTCGTCGTCGGAGTCTTTCGCGCTGTGCTTCCACCCCCGCAATGAATCGCACGAGGCGCCGCCGTCAGCTTTCTGCGGAGGGGATGCTACCCCTCTCAGGAACGATGGTGTTTGTGTCGGCACCACACGAGCCGACTCGCAGGTAGCCCCTGTCTCGGCCCCATGGCCCGATCATTCTATCGATTTCACCACCTTCCTGGAGTCAGGATGGAAAGAATCACACAGACACAATCAATCGGCGATTCCCCAGAAAATATGGGAAAATATGGGAAGTGGGGGGGAAGACAAAAACCCAGAAAATATAGGAAAGTATGGGGAATCGTTTTATTTGTGTGTATTTATTTGTGTGTGTGTGTGTGTGTGTGTGTGTCCCAGGGCCCCTTCATGGAGGTCTGCTCCCCGATCCCCCCCCCCCCTGGCCCTCCCCGTGCTCCCCGCCCCCGAAGGTCGTGGGCAAGCCGCCCTGGGACGGCGTCCCCGCGTCGAAGCGGCAGGCAGCGCGCGAGCGCGCACGCGCCGCCGCCAGCGCCGCCGCCGCCGCCGCCCGTCGCGCGTCGTGGACGACGTCGCAGTCGTCTGAGTCCCGGTGCTGTCCCCGTCCTCGCCCCTGTGGGGGGCGGAAAAGAGGGGGGTGATGACTAGGGGGGGGGGTGGATATCATGGCGGGGGCCATGATCTCTCCCCAGATCTCAGGGCGCCTCTTCTTGATTCATTACGTCCCCGGCCCCCCCGCTGGGCCGCGCACATGCCGCCGGTCATGATTTGCACCCCCCCTCTTGTCCCCGTCCTCTTGGCATCGCTCGGACGCGTGCCTTTGCTCCGGCGAGAACCCTCGAGGCCCATCCCTGATCATTGGACGAGACCGACAACAGCAACGGGAGTGGACGCCCGAGCGATGGCGAGTCCTCGTCCCTGTCGTCAGCGGCGGCGTCGGCGTCGGCGTCGGCGTCGGCGTGCTCGCTGGCGTCGGCGCCGTCGCCGTCGGCGCCCGCGCGGGGATGGCCCGGCGCGCGCCGCAGCCCGAGGGGGCCGAGCAGCTTTCGCCGGCGGGGCTGGTCGAGTCGTCGTCGCCGTCGGTGGCTCTTGTCAGAGGCTTGGGCGAGCTCGAAGTGAAGCGGAGGCCCCCCCACCGGGGAATCGATATCGGTTTCGTGTTCGTGTCGTGTCTTCGGGGGCGGAAAAGAGGGGGGTGATGACTAGGGGGGGTGGATATCATGGCGGGGGCCACGATATCTCCCCAGATCTCAGGGCGCCTCTTCTTATTTCATTACGTCCCTGGCCCCCCCGCTGGGCCGCGCACATGCCGCCGGTCATGATTTGCACCCCCCCCTCTTGGACGCCCCCCTCTTGGCCGCTCCCGATGTCTGCGGGGGCGAGGCGAAGCCGCGTGGGCGGGCGCGAGGAAGGAACCCGCCGTGGCTGGGGCGAAACTGAGCTGAATGACTCTACGCCCCTCGGTTGGCCGGCGGTGGCTCGGGGGTGTCCCGCCGGTGTCATGTGGGGTCCCGTGGTGTCCCGTGGCGCGGCGTCCCGTGGCGCGGTGTCCCGTGGCGCGGTGTCCCGTAGTGTCCCGTGAGGCTGACCTGTGAGGTCGATAGTGAGATCGATAGTGAGTCCGAAAGACAATCGATTATAAAATCGATAGTGGGGTCGACTGTGACCTGGCATCGCTCGGACGCGTGAATTTTTCTTTCGGCGAGGACCATCGAGGAGCATCCTTGATCACTGGGCGGAAAAACTCCGCAAGAAACCGAAAAAAACACAGGGAATGGACGTCCGAGCGATGGCCAGGTGAGGTCGATCGATAGTGAGACCGATCGATCGAGGGAAATGGGAAATCGATGGTGAGATCGATCGGCAGATGGGTAGCCAGAACTGGCGAGGGGTAACGCCAGGCTCTGTGAGCGCCCTTCTGGCCTCGGCGCCCGCACTTGGTGAGCGTGGCTCTCGTGCGCGTCTCCCACGGTTCTCTGTGTGTGCGGCCTTGCCGCGCTGCCGCTCCTGGATGATGGGCAAGTTCTGGTTCAGAGCAAGACGCGTTGCAGTGCCGTTTGTAATGCATGCTCCGCGTGCGGATCATGGATTAAACATGCAGGGATTTAGTATGGAAAACAACGATGAGTTCATGCATACATTGATTCATACATTAAACATGTATTAAGCATCCTATATGCTTAAAAACCCTATGTATTAAAAAACTGCCCTGTAACCATATCCTGCGCCGTATTTTTTAAACCAGTAATCATGATCTATACGACCACCCTTCGGGTGATAAGGAGGTCGTCTGGGGGGAAATAACTAGCTGAGGACAAGTGCGATGGCGGTGATGATGACGATGCGGGTGATGGGCCCTCGAGTTGGCGACGACACGTGGTGACTATGCTGCGTCGCGATGTGGTCCCACTTTCGATCCCACTCAACCGACCTCACCATGGAGACACCACCAGGGCACCATGAGGCCAGATAAATGCCACCACCACTGCGCTGTGATGGTTCGTACGAAGTGTGACGGTTGGCTGCTGATGGCAAGGTAATTGCCGCAAGGTAATTGCCGCTGTATGGCCTTCGGTCATACAATCGATCTCACTATCGATCTATCTCCTTGTCGATTTCACTCCATCTCAGCCACTACCGGTACCACTAGCGATCTCACTCTCGATCTTATGACCGATCTTACTATCGAAATTGCCCGAAGCTTCGAAGTCGGGTTTTCTCATCCCCACGCTCGCGGCCACGAGTGAAGCCGCCTGGCCGGATGCGTGTGTGTGTCTACCGGACACCAGCAGGACACCAATCGGGACACCAATTGGGTCACCAAGCGGGACACCAATCGGCGGTGCACCAGTCGGGGCACCAATCGAGACACCAATCGGGACACCAGGACACCCTCGAGACACCATAGAAACACCGGCAGGACACCATCAGGACACTCATAGGGGCACCAACCGGGACACCATCGGAACACCACTCGAGGGACTCATCGGGACACCACCAGGACACCACCGAGACACCATCGAAACACCACCAGGACACCATCCGTACATTAATCGGGACACCAATGAGGCCAGCAATCGGGGCACCAACCAAGAAAACATCAGGTTACCATGGATCCCACTACTGATCTCATCATCTATCTCATTATCGATCTCGCTATCGGTCTCACTCGATCGATCCCTCTACCGCTCTCACTCGATGGATCTCATGTTTGATCTCACTCTGGATCTCACTAGTGATCCCACGATCGATGTCACTAGTTACCGATCTCAGTATCGATCTCACTGTCAGTCTGACAATCGATCTCACCACGGGACACCACCAGGACACCGACGGGACTCCGACGGGACACCGAAGGGACACCGACGGGTCACCCGCGGGACACCGACGGCACACCGACGGGACACGACAGGACGCCATCGGCTTACCATCGGTACACCAATCGATCTCGCTTTCAATCTCATTATCGATCTCACCCGATCGACCTCACTATCGATTTCACTCGATCAAGTTCTCACTGTCGATATACCTATCGCTCTCACTACCGATCACACTATCGATCACACTGTCGGTCTCACTATCGATCTCACCATCGATCTCACCACGGGACACCGACGGAACATCGACGGGACACCGACGGGACACACGCGGGACATTGCCATGACACCGACGGGACACCACGGGACACCATCGGGACACCATCAGGGTACCAATCGATCTCATTGTCGATCTCAGTATCGATCTCACCATCGGTCTTACTACAGATCCCACTCGCTCGACCTCACCATCGATCCCACTATCGGCCTCACTGTCGATCTCACGATGAATCTCACCGCGGGACATCGACGGGACACCGACGGGACACACGCGGGACACTGCCATGACACCGACGGGAGACCACCGGACACCATCGGGACACCATCGACGTACCAATCGATCTCATTGTCGATCTCAGTATCGATCTCACTACAGATCCCACTCGCTCGATCTCACCATCGATCCCACTATCGGCCTCACTATCGATCTCACGATCGATCGCACCGCGGGACATCGACGGGACACCGACGGGACACACGCGGGACACCGACGGGACACCGACGGGACACTAACGGGACACCAACGGGACAACGACGGGATACCGACGGGGCACTAACGGGACACCGACGGGACACCGACAAGGGGATACCACATGGACACCGACGGGACACCGACGGGATAGCAACGGGACATCGACAGGGCAGCCACGGGACACCAACGGGACACCGACGGGACACCAACGGGACACCGACGGGGGACACCACGGCGGGGCAACCCGGCCACCGCCCGCCCACCGCGGGTGAGAGGCGGACAGCGACGGGATACCACGGAGGGACAGCCCATCCACCACCCGTTCACCGGGGAGGGAGGAGGGGCGGTCAACGGCTCTTGACCCGCCTCAGCCACAGCGGAGTCGATGCTCTCGCCCGCCCACGCAGCTTCGCCCCGGCCGCACGCACGACACGAACCCGAAACCGACACCGATTTCCCCGGTGGGGGGCTCTCCGCTCCACTTCGATCTCACCCCCCAACCTCCGATCATAATCATCATAAGCATCATCGCCAGCAGCATCACAAGTATCACAAGCACGATCATCATCACCATCACCCCGATCGTCATCACCACCATCGCACGGTTGTCAAGGCTTTCGACCATCTGGCGCGCCACTGTGTGGCAATTCGATTGTGAGATCGATTGATCGAGACACTGCTAGGTAGATAGTGGGGTCGACCGTGAGTCCGATAAGGAGGCCGATCGATCGGAGGTTGCTGAGGTATCGACAGAAGACGGATCGATAGTGATATCGATCGTGGTGTCCCGTGGTGTCCCGTGGCGTCTCGTGATGTCCCATGGTCTTGTATGTTCTTCGTCTGTTCTTCGTATGCCCCACAAACAAAAGCGCGGGGGCAAATCCATGACACTTTCGCTGGTTGCCACGGTGATTTGGTGTCGCGTAGTGAGTTCGAGAGCGAGAGCGATAGTGGGGGCGAGTGCGATATCGGTAGTGAGATCGACAGATAGTTAGATGCCTAACATCAGAGAGAGAGAGAAACAACAAACATATAGATCGGCCGTGATATCGAAATAGAAGTCGATAGCGACATCGATAATGAGATCTATCGTGAGATCGTTCGAGGGATCGATCGGTCCTTACATCGACTGGTCGAAGGGACATCGGCAGTGGCATTGATAGTGAGATCGATAGATCTCAAAATCGATCGTGAGATCGATAGTCGTATCCCGTGGTGTCCCGTGGTGTCCTGTGATGTCTCGCGCTGCCCCGTGGCCTTGTATCGAAGACGCCTACGGCGAATTACCGCCGCCCCCTGCCTTTTGTAATCGCCAATGTGGCCGAGCGTTGTGGCAAGAGCTCTGGCAAGCTATCGGGCCATGTGTTCCCCCAGCTGTTGTAGAAACCCTTCGGGGAACACTTGGGGGAGGATGGCGGGGAAGATCAGGAGGAGGATGAGGAGGAGGAGGAGGAGAAGGAGGAGGCAGAGGAGGAGGAGGAGGAGTAGGAGGAGGAGAAGGGGGCATCTTGGGAGCCCCTGGGGGCACTCTTGGGGCCTCCTTGGAGCTTCCTGGGAGCCTTTTGGGGTATCTCGGGGGCCTCCTTGGGCCTCTTGAGGGCCTTTCGGGGATTCTCGGGGGCCTCTTTGGCCGTCTTAGGACATTCCTTGCCCGTCTGACGCCGTCGGAAGCCGTCTTGGGGTCCTCTTTGGGCCGACTTGGGACCCTTTTGGGGTGCTCGGCCATCTTGGAGGCCATCTTGGGCGTCTTCGAGGCCTCTTGGGCCGTCTTGGGGGCCCTCTTGGGGCCGTCTTCGGGGACTCCTGGGCCGTTCTGGGGCCATCTTGGAAGGCCTCGTTGGCGATCTTGGGGCGATCTTTGGCGGCTCTTGGGCCGTCTCGGGCCGTCGGAAGATCGAACAGAAGCACCTGCCCAAATCTTTCAAACATCTACGGCAACTCAGGTCTTTTCGGGCCTTCTTGGAGGCCTTCTTGGGGGCCTCTGGGGCCGTCTTGGAGACCTCTTGGGGGCCTCTTGGGCCGTCTTGAGTGATCTTGGAGATATCTTGGGCCGTCTTGATGGCCTCCTGGCCCGTCGGACGCCGTTGGACGCCGTCTTGAGGGCCTCTCTGGGCCGACTCGGGGCCCTCTTGGGGTGCTCCAGGGCCGTCTTGGAGGCCATCTTGGGCGTGTTCGAGGCCTCTTGTCTTGGAGCCTTTTGGGCCGTTCTGGGGCCCTCTTGGAGGCCTCTTGGGCGATCTTGGGGCAATCTCTGGGGGCTCTTGGGCCGTCTCGGGCCGTCGGAGGACCGAAGAGACGCAAATGCCAACCTATTTCAAAACCAATGATTTGGGCCTCTTCGGGCCTTCCTGAAGGACCTCTTGGAGGCCTCGTGGGTCGTCTTGGAGACATCTTGGGGGCCTTTTGGGCTGTGTTGGGTCATTTGGGAGCCATCTTGGGCCGTCTTGGTGGCCTCCTGGCCCGTTTGACGCCGTCTTGAGGGCCTCTCTGGGGTGTTCCAGGGCAGTCTTGGAGGCCATCTTGGGAGTTTTGGATGCCTCGTGGGCGGTCTTGGGGTCCTCTTGGGGCCGTCTTCGGGGCCTCTTATCTTGGGGCGATCTTTGGTGGCTCTTGGGTCGTTTCGGGCCGTCGGAGGACCGAAGAGAAGCAAATGCCAAAATGTTCCAAACACCAAAGGGACATCACTGATTTTAGCCTCTTCGGGCCTTCCTGGAGGACCTCTCGGAGGCCTCTTGGGCCGTCTTGGAGGACTCTTGGAAGCTTACTGGCCCGTCTTTGGCCATCTTGAGACCATCTTGGATCATCTTGGAGGCATCTTGGGCAGTCTTGGAGGCATCTTGGGACCACATTAGCCGTTTCGGAAGCCATCTTGAACATCTTGGAGGCCATCTTGGGCCATCTTGGCGGTCTTGAAAGCCATCTTGAGCCGTCTTGGGAGAATGTTTCCGGGAATCGGGCGCCTTTCGTGTGGCCGGCGGGCTGGGCCAGCTCCCCAGGGGAGAGTTCTTTTGGACAAAAAACGAGAACCAAAACCGAAAGGATCCAGCACGCCGGGCACCCCTGTGGCAAGCCAACAGGGGGCGGCGGATCGAATGGCCTTCGGCCCATCCCACCACCGTGCCTGGGTTGTGGGTATGAAGCCTATTGGATGTTCGTTAGGCTCTCGTAGGAGGCCATCCGGGGGCCTCTTGGAGGGGCCTCTTGGGGCCTCTTTCGGGCCTTTGGGGAGCCTCTTTGGGCCTCTTGGGGGACTCTTGGGCGCCTTCTGGGGCCTCCTGGGGGCCTCTTGGGGCAGAAGGTTCTCTGTCTTGGGCCCCTTTTTGGGCGGTCTTGAGGCCCTCTTGGGCCCTTTTGGGCGTCTCTTGGGCCGTCTTGGGACGCTCTTAGGCTGTCTTGGGGCCCTCTTGGAGGCCTCTGGTGCCGTTTTGGGGTGTGGTATTGGAGGCCTCTTGGGCCGTCGTGGAACGTCGGAAAGCCGAAACGGCGAGAACGCCAAGATCCTTCGCCTCTTGGGGCCCTCTTGGGAGGCCTCTTGGAGGCCTCTCGGGGCGTCTTGGGGGCCCCTTGGGCCATCCTGGGCGTCTTGGAGCGATCTTTCGGCGACTCGGGGCCCTCCTGGACCGTCCTGGGAGCCTCGCGGGGTCCTCCTGGCCCGTCTTTGGGTCCTCTTGTGGGCCCGACCGCACTCCTGCGAGAGCACCTCCCGGAGCCCAGGGGGCACGCCGGGCACGCCCGGGGAGATCTCGGAACTCGGGGTCCCGGGCCCCGTGGAGGCTCCTCGGGACTGGGGACTGAGGCTCCAGGGATCAGGCGTAAGTCGGGCATGTCCCTATAGAGAGAAAAAGCTGAGTGCAAAGCACATGAGCACAAATGCCGTGGCCTTACAATGCGTCGCAATACCGCTTCACGGTTGCGCGCCAGGCTGCGGCAGAAATTACGCTATCTTGCCAGAGCAGCGGCAGGGCCTCCTCACCCCCCGCGGCCCGGACAGCGTGCGCAAAAACAGCTTCGATCCAAGTTTTCTGGGGGCGCCCCCTATACAGGATGATATATTCAAGCATAGTAACAATGGTCTGGTGGCGATTCTTCGTGCTCTTTTGACTGCGTGGGCGTACGTTTGATGATCCTTAGGTTTCCTTCAAAAACCCGCCTGCAGGAGGACATGCCCGACCTAAGATTAGGAGATTAGGCAAAGGACCTGAGGATACGCCCACTCCGTGCCTAGAGGCACGGTGGCGGATGTCCTGAGTACGATCTTCTGAAGGAAGGGGCGCGCGGGCAAACAAAGGTCACCTGCTTCCGCTGGTTGCTCCGATGCTTTTTGATTGATCTTTTTGATTGATGCCCTGATGAATATATCGATGGGCGAGCGGATTGCGCAGGCGCTCTGGTAGGACACCATTTCTTCGGCCACGGCGTGGAGTGTCGCAGTCAGCAAGCATTGTGATACCACGTGATAGTGGGTATGTGCACATGTGCGTTTCGTACTCAGCATCTTGCTTGCTTGCTTGCTTGCCCGGAAGGCGCCCGAAAGGAAAGAGGGAGCGGGCAAATACATGCCACCTAGTTCCGCTGGTTGCCCTGATGATTCCCGTTGGATGCCCCGATAGATACATAGATGGACAAGCATACTCCCCTGTATGTTCGCAGTACGCCCTTAAACAATGGGGCGTGACTGAACAAATGCCAGCTGTTTCCGCTTGTTGCCCCGATGATTCCCGATGATTATCAAGGACGCCATCGGGACACCATCGGTGGTGCTCCGTGGTACCCAACTGGTGCCCGAAGAATCCGATCCGACCCTAATCGCACACCGAAAGCTGAACTCCCCCCACACAACCTCCTTATCACCCGAAGGGTGGTCGTATAGGTATACGCTTCCTCAACCCTGTCCCATCAACGAATGAGGGTTGCGTTAAACTTCCCGCCCGCACTCCAGACTGAACGTCCGCCCCCCATCGCCTTCGTCGTCGTCGTCGAGGTTGTTTGCCGGCGGCGACGTGACGGTGGGGGCGGGGGGGACGCGTCTCAGCTCCCGCTCCCGAATAGCTGTTCAATTACAGTGCCGTTTTTAATGCATACTCCGCGTGCGGATCATGTATGAAACATGCAGGGATTCAGTATTAAAAACAACGATGAGCTCATGCATCAATTGATTCATACATTCATCATGTATCAAAAATCCGATATTTTAAAAACAATCCCATGTATTAAAACAAATCTGCCCTGTATCCCCCCCGACTTATGCTCTCGGGCAAGAGGGTGTAGGGGTAGGGGGTGAAAAGCTTCGGTTGTGATGGGGGGAAAAGGGATGGGAAGGGCCGCGCGCATGATTGCACGATTTGTCATCCACAGTCGTCCGGGAAAGAGTTTTCCCCCTTGTGTACTGGAATCCCTTTGAATCAGTCAATAGTTTGTGTAACTCAGGCCCTGGAAGGCGGGGTCCCCCCCGAGTTACGCTCTCGGGCAAGAGGGTGTGGGGGTAGGGGGGGGACTCCAGCCAGGGACGCCGGGGGGGACGGGCGTCCCAGTCCCAGAGAGGCGGCGGAGGAGGAGGAGGAGGAGGAGGAGGAGGAGGAGGAGGAGGAGGAGGAGGAGGAGGACGAGGAGGAAGAGAGGCGAGGGCGAGGAGGAGGAGGATGACGACGACGAGGAGGGAGGAATAGAGGAGAGGAGAGAGGAGGAGGAGGAGGAGGAGGAGGTTGGCACCTGGGGCCCCGGGTCCCGGAGAGGGATCATGCACCAGTGCAGCGTGCGCAGAAGCTGCTTCTGCTTTCTCCTTGTTGTCTGGACGTCGGAGGTCTGGCCACCCGTCCGTCCTCCCTCCTCTTCAGGACTGTGTCCCCAGACCTCTCCAGTGGCGCGTTGGGGCTTGGATCTCGAGGGGGATCCAGCCAAGGCGAAGAGAAGCCTCGAACATGGCAAACGGTTGAAAAAGACGCACTTCAGACCTCAATCATCGATCCTTCAACGTCCCCCTCCTCCTCCTCCTCCTCCTCCTCCTCCTCCTCCTCCTCCTCCTCCTCGATCCCTGGCTCTCTTCAAGCCCGTTGAAGGTCCGCAGCCCCGGAGCCCGTCGGAGCTCCCCGCCAGGGGCGCCTGCGACAGCCAGGGAGGCGGAGGCCGCCCTGGAAGGCCCAAGAGTAATCAAGAGCAGCCCAACGCCCTGACACTCCAGCCTCGATCCTCGAACCGCGATCCTCGATCCTGCCTCGATCCTCGAACCTCGATCCTCCAACGTCGACCCTCCAGCCTCGAACCTCCAGCCTGAAGCCTCAAGCCTCGCTCCTCCTCCGAGTGGTCTCCTCCGAGCGGCCTCCCAGCACCTCCCCAGGCGCCACCGTCGCCCAAGCCGCCGACGTAGGGGCGCCCTGGCCAGCTCTCCGCCGACGAGGCTCCGCGCGGTCGCGGCGCCAGCCGCCGCCAAGCAGCGCCGTTGCGCCTCTCGCGGGCTGGGGGGCCCAGGCCTGCAGTCCGAGGCGGTGACCTATACATGACCACCGCCGAGATGATTTTTTTTTTTTTGGAGGCCTCGACGGGCGGTGGGTATGGACATATGTGGGCGTTCAGGGGCCAGAGTATATGCATTTACCCACCGCCCGCTGGGGCACCAGGAGGTCGGTGCCCAGGCGGTGGACATGGGCATATCCGCGCCTCACATGCAGGTTGTCACTTCTGGAAGGTTGGATTTAGTTTGGAGCCGGTATACAGTCAACCCGCGTAGCCAGGATGAACAACCTTCCCAAGGGTACCCTTGCATCCTTCCCTCCTCGGTCCATCTTTGGCCGCTTTCACTGGCCGCGCCCCGCCCGCAGAGTGCCGACATGGCCTTCCAAGGCCCTTGCATCCTCACCGCGCATCCTTACGATACGGGTCGGCTGTGCCCGCGGTCGAAAACTGGTCCTATCCGTGTCAGCCCTGCTGGGTACGGCCGACTCCAGCTCAGCTCGGCCTGGCCCTGCTGCCTCCTCTCCTGGGCAGGGTCTGAGCTTGCACTCCTCCGCGCTCTTGCATCGGACGCCATACAGCCCGCAGCGTGTTCCCACGGATGCTCCCCAGGAGTTGCTTCCCGAACAATCGGGGAACAAAAAGGCCGAAGGCCGAGGTCGAGGAAAGACAGCTGGCAGTGAAGAGACATAATCCGCCAGAGATTTGCTCAGGGGAACAAGAAGTGACATAAACATAACAACTCGGGGGAACAAAAAGTGGCAACAACATAAGTTTTTTATGGGAGCAAGAACTCGGGTTTTGTTTAGGTTTGTTCAGGGGAACAAAAAGTGACATAAACACAACCACTCGGAGGTCCGCGCGGATCTCTCGGATCGGCGCTAGAACCCCCTCCTCGGCGCGCGAAGCGCGCCGGGGGCGGCGCCGGAGGCGCCGCCGGGGGGCCCCAGTGCCGATGCGAGAACTCCGCGCGGACCTCCGAGGTTTTATGTTCATGCCACTTTTTGTTCCCCTAAACAAACCTCTGGCGGATTACAGTCAAAAGCCCTCATAAGGACGCGCGACCTTGCTCAGGGTACCCTTGCGTCCTTGCTCTTCCTTGCTCTTGCGACCTTGAGGTTTTCGTCGTCCGCCGCCCCCAAAATCCCAACTTCGGCTTCCAAGGGTCTTGCGTCCTTACCGCGCGTCCTTATTTGGGTTTTTGATTGTATGTTTCTTCACTGCCAGCTGCCTCGGCCTCCGGATATGCCCGGGCCGAGGGCGCAGGGCCGACCCAATAGGGAGGGCGCGCGGGCGCCCTTTCAGAGGGGCGGTGGGCACGGCCACCGGGCCTCGCACTCTCTGGGGATCGAGGCTCCCTTGAGATCCTGGCCTCGCCTCGTGTCCCCACCTTAGGCCTCGCTCCTCTCCTCAGGGGGCCACATGCGAGCCCTGCCCCTACCCCCTACGATTTCTGAGGGGGAGGGTGGGGTTCACTCCGCTCGGGAGCTCCCGCACGAAGTGAACCCCACCCTCCCCCTCAGAAATCGTGGGGGGTAAGGGTAGGGCTCGCATGTGGCCCCCTATTCTTGGCCCCCGCGGCCACGGGTCGATCCGTCTGAGAGGTGCGGCAGGAAGACGGGGTCCAGGACCCTGCTCGCCGTGGTTGGCGATGTTGCCCTGTTTCGCGACGTCGGGTCTCAGAGATCGGAGGCTCGAGGATCGAGCTTTCGAGTGTTTTTCCACACATCCAAAGTGGGGTTCTTGTTTTCTCTGCACACGCCGCGCAGGATCTCACCCCCCCTTTCCTCTCTCTCTCTCTCACACACACACTCACCATCATCACCATCATCATCAACATCAACCACCATCATCGTCACCACACGCACACACTCATCATCATTACCATCAACCACCATCACCGTCATCACTACTCATCATCATAATCTTTCATCATTACTCATCATCATAATCCTCATCATCCTCATCGTCACCATCATCACCACTCGATCACCCACTCACTCACTCAATTACTCACTCATCCTCAGTAGGCTTCGGAGGCAGTGGTCCTCCGACGGCAGGACCGCCACCACTCTCAAAACATCATCGTCACCATCTCCATCATAATCTCTCGACCACCCATTCAGTGGCCATCATGATCATCATCAGCATCATCATCACTCATTCATCACACACTCATCATCATCATCATCAGCATCATCATCATCATCATCATCATCATCATCATCATCATCATCATAATAATAATCATTCACTCACTCATCATTTCGTCATCACTCACCCCTGGCTTGAATTTGGAGGTAGTATCAGGCGGGAGCCTCGTCTGTGAGTGAATTGTGAGGAAGTCTCAGGCGGGAGCCCTTCCCTATGGGGCCCGCACCTCATGTTTCTAATCCGAGGCGGGTCATTCGAAACGTGTAACTGTCGTCATTTTTGGGCCCCTGCGGCGAGAATCTGGAGGTAGTATCAGGCGGGAGCCTCGTCTGTGAGTGAATTGTGAGGAAGTCTCAGGCGGGAGCCCCGTCCTATAAGGCCCGCACCTCATGTTTTTAATCCGAGGCGGGTCATTCGAAACGTGTAACTGTCGTCAATTTTGGGCCCCTGCGGCGAGAATCTGGAGGAAGTATCAAGCGGGAGCCTCGTCTGTGAGTGAATCGCGACGAAGTCTCAGGCGGGAAGCCTCTCCCTATGGGGCCCGCACCTCACGTTTTTAATCCGAGGCGGGTCATTCGAAACGTGTAACTGTCGTCACTTTTGGGCCCTTGTGGCGTGAACCTGGAGGAAATATCAGGGCCCGCACCTCGCGTTTTTAATCCGAGGCGGGTCATCCGAAAAGTGTAACTGTCGTCATTTTTGGCTTCCGGAGGGCTTGAATAAGGAGGATGTATCAGGCGGGAACCTCGTCTGTGAGTGATTCGCGAGGAAGTCACAGGCGGGAGCCCGCCGGTCTGTCCCCGCGGGAGTCCCCGCGTTGAGCCAGCTCGAAGCATGCGAGCTGGAGCTGAGGCGCAGGAGGACAAGGAGGAGGAGGAGGAGGAGGAGGAGGAGGAGGAGGACGAGTAACAGGATTTGAGGAGGACGACGGCGGCCGGGCGCAGGGGGAAACCCTTGCGTCCGGGCCGGGGGTGGTAACCCATCCTCGGCCGAAGCGGCGGCCGGGCGCAGGGCTCGTGCAGGAGCAACGGGCCACCATCGTGTCCTTCGAGTTTCACGCAGACGACGAGATGTGGTGGCTGCACCTCTACGTCATGTTCTCCCGCGCCACGCGCGTGCGGAACATGCTGATCCTGCGGCCGCCCGCGCGAGAGTTCCTGGAGCGCGGGCCGCCGGCGTCGCTGCGGAAGGCGCTCCAGGAGTTCGACAAGAGAGCGGTGGACTCCAGGGCTGAAGCGGAGCAGCTCGCGGCAGAGCTGGGTTTCGTGCTGCCGCCCGCCTGAGCGCCGCGGCGCGCGCCTGGAGGCCCGCGGGGTTGTCCCAACGGCTGGCTCCCGCGCCCCTGCGGCCTGCGAGGTTGTCCCAACGGCCTGGCCCGAGGGGTTGTCCCGACGGCTTCGCGATCTAGCCGTCGGCAAACGCGCGCGTGCTGGCCGACGCGGCGACGGCGCCGAGGAAAATCGAGCTGTTTGCCACGACCAGGGGGAACGGGATGTGCACATGGAGAAGAGGCAGGAGGATGAGGAGGGAAGGGGCACGGGGGAGGGCGACGACGAGGAGGAGGTGGCGCGAGAGGAGGGGGAGGAGGAGGAGGAGGAGGAGGAGGAGGAGGAGGAGGAGGAGGAGGAGAAGGAGGAAGAAAAATAGACGGAGGAAGAGAGGGCAGCGCAGAGGGCGAGTGGAGAGGATGTCCGCCAGGGGGAGGAGGAAAGGGCAAAAGGTAAGCTAAACAGGTTTTCGTGCGGAGTCCTACCGTCGGAGTAATTGGTATGAGCTGCGCCTCCGGATGGTTTTGGGCAGTTTGTCTGGCGGCCAGCGGAGGCCCCTGGGGGCCAGATTGCAAGCGTCTTGAAGAGGGCAAGGCGGATGTGCTTTGTATACGTCGGCGTCTGGTAGGTGCTCCTGCGCCCGGGGAACATCAAATGACGATGTGGGAGAGGGGGGCAGAGAGCTCCAGAGGCCCACGTATTGAAGACACATGCCGGCGCAAAACTCTGGGGCCGTCGGAGATTCGAGGAGCGAGGCTGACTGACCGCTGCTTCGTTCAAAAAACCTCCTTACAGTGCCGTTTTTAATACATGCTCCGCGTGCGGATCATGTATTAAAAATCCGATATTATTAAACATCCTGTGTATTAAAGCTGCCCTGTAGCAGTTGTGCTCGGCCGCCCCGCCGCCGCGGTCGGATCCGCCTCAAGCCTCTCTGGTCGGGGCGCGCCCTCCGGGACAGGCCGGGGGGGGGGTCCGGCTTCGCAGGGAGCCGAAGGCCCAGACCTCGGAGGAACTAGTTTTAAGTCGGTCCTGTCCCCCTACAGGGGGATTTTTGACGACAAAATTCAGATACCCAGAAATATTCCAAAAGTGATCCAAAAATAGTCTGGGGACTATTTTTGGACTATCGTTGGGCCTTTCTGGGGGTATTTTTGTTTTTTTCCCGGAAAGGGCCTGGGCCCAGGGTTTTCTTTTAGATGGTTTACCCCCCGGTTTTTACTTGAAGGGGGCCGGCGAATTTCTTGTGCGATGAATATCGAGGTCGAGGGGGGCCGGCGAATTAACATTGTGCGGACGAAGGCCATTGTTCGCCACCCCTCACGCAGATCGTGTTCTTGGATTTTTACTGCCTTTAAGGAAACCTTGATATTTCACAGGTGAAGTCCACTTTTTTCCGACATCGAATTTAAACTATAAAAAACATGGTAAACGCGTTCGCTCTATAAATAACGAGGTACCGCGGCCTCCAGAACGGCGCTGGGAACGGAGTTTT